TCTCAGGTTGGTATTTTGGCTCAGTTGCAACGGATTGTGGCATAGCTGAATGGAATTTGTCGGTATCAAATAAACCATAATGAGGTCTCCTAGTTGACGTCAATATTCACCACTGTACAATCTCACGGACTGCAGTCTGCGCTGGTAGGAGAGATGAAACAATCCTCTAACGAGTTTGGTCGGTCTACGTTGCGGAGCTTTAAGTGCATTAATGTTGCGCTTGCGCCAGGGGCGCCAGAACTGGATCGCATATTCCAAGTGAGGCCTCCCGTAGTCGTTCAACATTTGCGGAAACATTGATGGTTCGATATTTCCGAAAGCCCTCCATAAGAGTCCAAGACGTTCACTGGCTCTTTTCGGTGCCTTTTCAGCCTGTCTCAATCGGCCAAGATCCTACTGCATGATCACCCCGAGGTCGTTTTCTTGGGAAGCAAGTGGCAACTGTTGGTCCCAACCCTATATGCACAGATAAGCTGATGGCTTATGCTCAGGAATTTGCGGTTCGCCACGTTGCACTGGAGCAGATTAGCGGATGACCACGGGTAAGCCTTGTGGAGATCGCTCTGCAATGCCATGTGATCATCCGTTGTTCTAATATGCCAAATTTTGACAACAACAATCAGTAAGAAATTCGACCGCACGACACTAGCAAAATCGTTAATGAATACTAGGAATAAAGGTGGCCCCAGTACCGATCCTTGGAGCACACCATACTGGACGTAAATTGGATGGGAAATGGAGCTGCGGACTCTAAGAATCAGTTGACGTTGCGTGCGGAAGTTGCCGATCCAACCGAGCACAGGGTCAGCCATTTCCTTTCTTCGAAGCTTATGCAGAAGAATGCGGTGGTCCAAACGATCGAACGCTTTCGAGAAGTCCAAGTAGATGATGTCGACTCCCACTCTGGCTTCAGTTGACTCTGTCCAGCTTGCTTAGGCTAGAAGCAAGTTTGTAGTGCAAGACCGATTTAGGCGAAATCCTTGCTGCACTGACACTAGTATATTCTTTGCTCTCAAAGTATCCCATGACAGCCTCTGCGATCATACCTTTCATTACTTTGGATTAAACTGGGAGGAGAGTGATTGGACTGTAGTTCGAGGGCACCGAACGATTACCACTTTTGTAAATTGGAGTGATTAGTCCATGTTTCCACATTGTGGGAACCTGCATTTCGTCGAGACAACATTGAAGGAACTGAGCTAATGTTTCGGCAACGTTCATGGCCGCTGTCTTCAATACCGTTGGTTTGATGTAGTCCACGCCAGGTGAGCTGTGCACGCGCAGTGACATTAGCGTTTTCATCATAGTGGCTGCCGCAAACGATATATGTTTTAATTCTGTTGGCGATGGGAGTTGTGTCAAAAGCGAGTGAAATGTTGATTCACTCTGGAAAGTGTGGAGGAAGTGTTGGTGAAGCATGTTGGCCACATTTTGTGTAGTGTGCACCCGACCATCTGTTGCATGTAAAAGTGGGATCCCACGCTGCACTCTGCGGAGCTTGTTGACGTGTCTATACAGCAACGTGGGATTAGTACTGAATTTTCCGCTAACTTCTGTTGATGCGAGAGTTTGTCTTCGCGGATCAACCTGACGCAGTGGTTTCATTGAGTTTTGTAAGTACCCCAGCTCAGGTTACTTGGACAGACTTTGTAAGCGCGCCAGGCTGAATCCCTTAAGTCCATGCACTTTCTAGTACGGCTCCTTTAGGAACGAATTCACTTTCTTCTGGCGAAAGACCTTGCTCTCTGACACATTTGTCACTAGTTCGGTGAATTGGGTGACAAACACTATTCAAGTGACATCGGGCGGCTGCTCAGCTAGAAAAGATCAGTAGATTTCTCGAAGTAGGTTGGATAGGATATCGCAATGTGTAACGACATAGGTTTCCACGCTGTTCTCAATGACGTACTGCGAGTAACAAATGTAACGATAGGGACTTACGCGTGATCGCTACGGACAAGCGGTGCATCTACGGTCACGGTGTCGACCATTATTTCTTCGTTGGAGAGCACAAGGTCCAAGAGAGAGGGTGTGTCACCCGTTCGGAATCGAGTGGGAGAAGCAACATGGTTGTACAGAGATACATCGGCAATCACCACTTGCAAGTCAGGCCTGAATTGTTCCTTGTGCAATGCTGGGATTTCGAGTGAGTGCAGGTTGAAGTCCCCCACCAGAAGGACTCGCTTCATCGCAGAAGCTAGGCACTGGTCCATTTCCAAGGTGGACATTGGTGGGCGGTAAACTATTGCTAGTAAACACACCTCACCCCCACTTAGGTTCATACAACATCATAGAGCGTCGGTGACTTGTGTTTCTGGGTCCTCAATAATACCAACTTGCATGTCGGCTCGATAATACAGGAGAACTCCGCCTCCTCTTCTAGGCCCATCGTTTCGTATGGAAGTCATGCCGGGTAAAGCAACCTCAGCATGGGTGCTCTCCGTGTTCAGCCATGTTTTGGTGATCATAACCAGGTCACAAGTCATGGAGACCAGTCGAATACGAAGTTCGGTTAGCTTGCTGAGAATAGCTTACACGCCAGCAAGACGGTGGCCATCCTGTTCTGCTTCAGCTGTCGGCGTATTTCGGTATTGTCCCCGTTCTGGGTTACACGGTGAGGGAATTGTATTGGTAAATTGCCTGCGCAGTGTTACCTTATCTATCTGTGGCTGGGTGCCTATCGCCTTTACACGTATTTCGGATGGCAGCATTTTACGCTTTTTGTGCCACATTTTGATCACATGCTCCGCCATCAGTTCGGAGTGCAATGATACTTTCATCACTCGGGGACCACATCCTTTGTAGTTAGGTGACAACGGTAGGCTTCATGTCGATTTAGTGATAACGTTTTCGAGTGAGAGCACTTCACGAATAAAACGCCATTCATCCCATCATGCGCTTTGGCCTCTACCTCGCTTAATGTCTGTTGCTCGGGGATACCGTGAACAATAATAGATTGTGCATCCTGTTTTTAAGAAAATCATTCGGTAGTTGTCTGCGTTTCTGACATTCGCTCCAGGGAACATCTGGGAAAATTATTACAGTGCATGTGGTGGTACGCAGAAGAGTGGCTGACAAGAGAACTGCCTCTGCATCATTACCTGACTGAAGTGTTACCTGGAGTAACCGCGGTTCACCGTAATGCACAGAGGTTGGGTGACGGACGAGACGCATCATATTGAGTGGTTTAGCTTGAAGCCCTATTAGTTGACACACGGAGTCCCACTGTTTGCTATCGTCTAGTATCTTATCATTTATGTAGTTCGCTCCGGATTCACTCACAGTAGAGCACATAGCAATAAGAAAAGTATGACCTTGTTTTATATTCTCCTTTGTGGAAGGGCCAATGGCTGCTTTTTGGGTTGGACAGCTGATGAGATCGTGAGTACCGTGGTGGTGTTGATGGTATTACTTCATTTAGCATCTTGCGGGGTTACGATAGGAAGTGCCTCTGTCATACAGGTAGCAAAAACGGACGCATATATTGTCGGCCCTTAAATAGTGTTAGTGGTGGCGAGTAGTTCTGGTTAAAAATGTGCGGCGAACGCATCTTTACGGACAGACGCTAGTGTTGATGTGGGTAACTCTAGATCGTTACTCCTATTTTCGGCCACTGTTCTGGATTGGAGCTTGCTGTTGAGCATTAAGTTCGACGCACTGAATTATCTGGTTCCTGGGGGACATCTTTCACGGCTGCTGCTTGCTCTACAATATTTGTCTGCCTAACGCACTTCTGTGCCAACACAGTCCTGCACAGTATATATTACTTACACGTGTATAAGTATCCAGCTTTCGCGTCTTTGTGACAAATGTACGTAAAATGCGAGATGTCGGCACAACAACAGGCATTCGAAGCACAGCACTACATAGATTAGGAGGCAACCACCCGAAGCCGCGGACTCAAAAGGCCCAGTCTTGCTGTTGCATCCCCAGATGGCAGCTCTCAGACGGGGCGGACTGACATGTCTAAACACAAGACCCCAAATCCGACTCGGTTACTCCTAGGACAAATGTATGAGGAAATATGGAAAAATGAGCAACACTGGACAGCGTTTCCAGAGAGTGCCACTTAGTCTGCTTCGGACTTGTGTGTAAGTGCACGAATTCGGTCACATCAGCATGCCAGAGTACGTCGACTGCACTTGAAATCATGTGGTCCGGCAGCGGTGACCGGTGCTGAGAGAAGGTTTTTTACGAAACAAACTTTTCCATATTTGGTTTTTGCGACATCGATCGTGTGGGTTTCATACACCTATGGTTCATGGTGAGCTACAGAAAGTACGTGAGTAAATGCGCTGAGTTCCAGGGTTCTTAGTGAGAACGCACCACCAAACGCAGCAGTAGCTTTAACGAACGCCCTCGACTCCTTTCTTCAATAATGCGCATTAATGGTAAGTGGACAACGCAAGATTCCTGGACCGTAATCCGGAAAGCAGAGCAAGCTTAGACAGCACGACGTTCATCAATTAATTGATTCACGGTAAATGGATCATGGAACCTGCTCTGCAATTTCCAGTAGTATGTGAGACGATTGGCTAGCTAATGTAAGAGAAGGACCGATCCGCATGCAGTCGATTTTCACGCACAGTAGTCATCTAGGCAAGTGACACGGAAGCCTGAATGCATAGGGTATTCTGTTGAACTATGATATCTCCATAGCACCAGTGTTTATGCCTAAGTAGCAGCGAAGATGTGAAGGTTATTCCTCGTTCCTCACCTTAGCTGTTGCAGCGACGGAGCATGAGAACATGATCATTTGAACTTCGATTAACATGCGGTGTTGCGCGGACGGTTGAATTCGGTTCCCAGATGTCCAGGACGGGAAGATCTATGTACATATATATATATATATATATATATATATATATATATACATATATATATATATATATATATACATACTTGGTGGAATAGTGGAAGTCGTCAAACTACTTACTCGGAAATATCTAGTTTCTATATACAGCGATCGGCAAAAATTAACAATAGCATTTTATCCATACCTTTCTGGCTTCGCGTTTAATACGGTGGATCAATGCGGCAAATTCAGCACGCGCTGGAGGTTTGAACGCATTCAGTATAAATTGATCCACACGAAACTGATGATCGGTGCCCTCTCGAGCAGTATCCATTTGGCCTCTTGCGCTTTTCGATACCGCCGTTACACGTGGAGCTTCAGCCACCACAGTCGGAAGTTCATCCCCCAAGACCCCGGAAAAATTGAATTTAGATTTCAGTGTGGCCCAATAAGTTTGATTTGCTTTTGGCTTCTTCGTTATATGCAAGCCCGTCGTTCCAGCCGCAATCGATATATCTTCCAGAGCATCGGATCTTGGTTTGGTTCGAAAATATCGGTGGGTAGATGGTTCTTTTTTCTTCAGTCTTGGGGTCCTGGAGCTATGTGCGACTGTTTGAGTCCAGCCTCGGCCACTTAGAGGTCGCTTGTTTTGAGGAACTCTGATGACTTCGAATTGACCCGATGTCTCAGCTTTGTTTCGCTCCATGTTCTTCATTGAAAAGGGAAAAGATGGAAATCGCTGATGAGGTCGGAACTCGCATTAAAAATGAGCAAAGGAGCGGTGGCAATGTGAAGGTTCTACATAGACACAACTCAGCTTAACCAGTTAAATATTATTCCAGTATCAAGGTGCGATGTATCAAGTTGATCTGGAAATATTGCGAGAAACGGTACAGGGAAACACTAATGCGGATTGATGAGATTTATTGGATAATAATATTGGATGTAGCAAACTGTGCTCGTCTGGAGGGCTACTTTACTGAAAGACACAAAAGGGAATAATTGCGGGAGAGCCAGGTACTTCAAGACGACACAATGGCGAACATAGTGCTAATCACCTTATTTAATCAATCCAGAAGGACTGCAGGGAACGACTTGAACAAATGTCTAAGCTAAGCGCTCACTGCTTTTCTGACTTGTCGTTGTTAATAACTTCACGGTCTCACCCAACTGAGTGTGATATCTGGAAACGAAACATTTCAGGGTCAAGGGTGATGGCTTTGCGAAGCACGAAGCCTGACCAAACAGTGGAAAAATCTGATGCCAAAAGCTTTCCACCACCGCAAGTGCAAGCAACAATTTCTGTAGATTAGAGGATTTGAGTCAATTTATCTGCTGGGTTCTACACGATCATCTGCAATTAAAATCAAGTTTCATAAATAACAAACTTCAATACTTGGGAGCAAACGGAGGCCTTTATATTTTAAACACCATGACATCAGAGATCGCACAACGGATAGTTTCCACCCCACAGCCAAGCTGCCCACCTCCGTTTGCCCATTGCTATTTTCACTTCTGCTAGCGTCCTACTGACCCACCGTCGAGGAAGGAACAACTTCGGACGCGTGCATACTTCAAGGTTGCATGCAAGCTCCAAATTCAAAAGAAGTAAGTTCCAGTGTACAAAGACGAAGGCTATCCTTGCTACATCCTGCAGAGTTTTCAAGCAACAGACGAATTAAAAGCAAGCTAACCCTAATCCCCAAATTACAGCTCCATGACACCATGTACGCAATCTGAGGAGGTCATGTTGATGCTTTCGTTGTGTGAATTGAAAGCGATGCGTTAGCTTTGTTTCACTGTGATAATACCACAATATCCTGACCCGTTACTTTGTTATAACGGAGAAATCATTGAGTTTTGGAAGCAATATCCAGTGGAAGAGCCTTCTTTACTGCAATTATTCGAAGTAATTATCTGTTGTCTCTAGCGGTTTACTCATTTTGCAGCTAGAATGTTTGTTGAATTTATGGCTTCGATGCTGTTGTTCATTAATGGCTTAATTCTGATTAATTTTTGATAGTTCTCTACCCACCGACGCCACTTTTATCTTGTATGTTGGCCAGATTCCTTAGTTTCTTTCTTTTAACACATTATGCGATTTTTACCAAGGAATGCTTATTCGATCTTATATTTATATCGGCCCGTAGCCCAGAGGTAAGGAGCTTGTCTCGTAAGTTTGAAGCGCGAGTTTGAACCCGCGTAGAGATGCTTCTCCTCGCAGTATACTCAGTCCGCGTGCGACTGGTGATGGTCGCACGGCAGCGAAGCGCCGTTACGGCGTACAGCTGACACATTTATTTTTTCAGTTATATTTATTAGCACCTCTTTGTTTACGTTTATCCGGCCGGAACTCTATGGTCACTCGTGTCTCTTCTTCAATGACATTTAACGTGCATTTTGAACAGAACTCTCTCCACCCACCCATCTCCCCCGCTATCTCCACTCTAACTACTGTCATCACAACTTCCACTCTGCACAGCTGTATACTCTGCCATTCTACTTATACCTATAGGGATGAATTGGCTGGCCACATGGGATATCACACATGACTTCCCCAAACCACCTTCGTGTTGACGAGTCAACACCTAATGCTTGTTCTCTGCGACACATCTTTCATTTCAGCTAGCGTGATTACAATGCACCACCAACGGACACATCCCAAAGACTACCGCGCCTTCATGACATTTAGGAGGGCCATACGCGGCGTATTCTGGTCGGAAGAAGCAGACGTAGAGTTAATGCGGTTAGCCGACGAGCTGCATTCCGTGGAGAGAACTCTGAAGAATTTGTTGCTCTGCCATCATCAACTTTTTCCAACCAGAACGTCAGCGACAATTAAGAGAATGTTTCAGCATCTTAAGTGGACCTAATCACCACGGTCAAAAGAACTAGACGTCCAGAGGGTTTCATGCATAAGAACAGGAACTACGTCATCATCAACGATAGCCTCTTCAGCATCGCGACTCTTTTGGCAGGCCAGTCGCCGGACTGCAATTACACGCCCTCCACAACATCTTCCGACGTTCTTGTTGTTCCGAAACACAGTATCTCGTGAGTAGAAACTCTTGCACTCACAATCCCCTCCTAATCGTCAACCCAGTCGTAGATTTAAGCCAATGAACGGCCGGCGGCGCAGGTCTCAACCTGTCTCCCTACGCCTTCTGTTCTGAATTACCAGGACAGAAGGCCATCTGGAACTTGTTCAACAATCTAGAACGGCCGGATTTCTACCGAAGTCTATCTCAGCCATCGGCATCGCTTGCCTACCACACTCACATATCATTTCATTCATCTCACAATTCCATTGGCTTCGTTAGCCGACATCTTTCAAAGCTCGAATATGGATATCTGAATACCCTTATTACTTCACATGATTTCTACTACCGTTATATGTACGACACTTTCATTCTCTGTGACTCTTCCACCGATTATATGACCCTATTAGGTCAGTTTAACAGAGTGCATCCATCATTAAAATTCACCAGTGCAGTTAAGCAAAATGGCTACTTGGCCTTCCTAGACGTTCTGTCGCATCCGCGTGAAAGCGGGACGATCAAAAAGGATTGCTTTTCGCAAAGCGACATGGATTGGTCAATGCATTCATTTGTTCAAGTTTGTACCGCTGAAATACAAGAGGAATATAGTTCGTCACTGATTTCATCGTACCAGAGCAATCTGTAGCCCAGAGATGCTGGAAAGTGAAACCAATCTAATCTTTAATATGTTGCAAAACATGAGTCTCCTGTGCCTTTCATCAAGAAGCAATCCAAACAGTCTGATTCTGTCAAGTCTGTTGCTACCGTGCCAAAAAGTATATATTCCTTACAGTTCCCTTTAAACGTAACGTCGCGTTCGAACTGTTGAATAGAAAAACCTCGACAACACTGGCCAAGATATTTCCAGACGTCAATCTAAAACTATTTGCCAAAACAAGACGATTGATTGTTCAGCACTCAAAGGATAAACTTTTGGTTCTGTCCGAATCGTTCATTTTATACCAGTCCGCCTTCAGCTTTGGTGCTAGGTATCTTGTATTTCCAAAAGTATCGCTGAACATTGTCCCGCGTCACGACGAAAAGCCACCTAAAAAGCCATCAACTGATACGATTTACAACACTTGGTCGACACTGGACATCAAGTTCAGATGAACCAGCAGTTTAAAGTCGTTTATACCATTTCTAAACGATACTCGAAACAGCTTAAGAAATATCTACTCACCATTTCTGAAGCCATTACCATAAAGGTTCTGAAATTGGAGCTTTGAAAACAGGGCACATGGCTACAGGCTCTGAAATTGCCTTGGACTTGAAATTGACTTATGACCTACTTTGATCTCGTGCTTCCTAATGCGACATTGATTTAGTTTTCATACTGCCGGGTTACTAATTTGGTTGCTTGCTGTACAAGTCTCTACGAACATTATTCCGTCCAATACATTGATTCATAATTGTATGCTCCCGATGGGAGTTATCGAAAAGAATATTCTTCGCGCATTTGCTTGCTTCTGACTCGTTAGATTCCCCAAACGTATCAGCCCAGTAGCCAAACGCCCCTGCCGAGAACAATGCAGCAACACCAACGGCTGCACCGCCTCAACAGCAGTTCACCTCATCTGAGTTACAGCAAGAGGACAATTTACTAGACTTAACGACCGACGCCATGCTTCTGCATCACTGCGACTTATGTCCGCGCTGTTTTTCCACATTCATGGGCTTAGGTAAACACAACTTTTCACCGCACCAACGTGACTGGACTTTTGACTGATACCGTCCTTGTCAACTGGACGGAGTTCAAGTGCTCAACATGCTGCAAAACGTTTGACAGCAAGCGTGCTTTGTCTCAATACTCCCGTCAAGTCCATCCCGATGCTTACAACGCAGATGGTCTGGCGTGGCTATTCAACCACCAGGAGGACCGGTCTGCGCTAGAGGACGAGACACTTTTTCCTGCACCACGGATAGGGCACCTAAGCTCCCAAACTCCCACAGCTGCTCAGGCAACCCCGAATCCGGTTTCTCTGCCGAGCAAATTGCGTTACGAAACGTTTGCAAGATCTCAGTTGGAACATTATGACAGCAAGCGAAAGCCCCCTATAACTGCTCAGCTATTTCAATTACGCATGCCGCCCCACCATCCATCCTTCTCACTCAGTCGCCAAGTTCCCCTTCCGACGCTATGAACAAAGAGATCCACCCACCACTCCATTTGAACCTCACAGGCCTGACCACACACCCCTCGTGGCGAGGTTCCCATTTGTGTGACCATTAAGACGACTCAACAGTCACGCTGAATGTCAGCGCACACAACATATGTTACCTTAACATGGGTTGGTAATAGCCCGCAATTCTAACGCCCAGTCTGGCTTGGTCCTCCGCCTCACCATACGAAATCACTCTAGGGGGTTAACTTAGATGAACCAAGCACCGACAACCATGTGAAGCTCTCTACGGATCCCTGGCACCTAGTTACGAAAACCACAAGTGGTCAGACTGCTTTTCAACCTCTTAATTCGGAATCCAGAGAAAAGCAGGTCCTATGCAAATCGCAAAGCGAACACCGTGCATCTACTTTTCGAACAGTCATTGCAGACCTGCAAACAGGGCACTGTAGGTCAGAATTCAGCAACGCTATGGAAATAGTGTGCTGAAGCATATTCCCTCACACATGATGACCTGTAAGCGCAGACAACGGGCACTTACAGTCGCA